AGTGCATCTAATAAACCATCTTGTTAGTCTTTATAGTGCTACATTGTCCTGCATTTTGCTTCAGCTACCCCAGACTAACACGGCTACATTTCTATCACAATTCTAGTGCAAACACATTTTAATGGCAATGTCTTCCTTTCCAAAGAGAACGTTTGCCCAGTGTCTGCAGACTTACAGAGCCAGTGACCCCAAACATCTGTAATTGAGATGGCTGGCCCCACTATGAGCCCCCATACGAGCAACCAGAACAGCCAACAAACTTCAGATCATTTTTTCAAAGAGGAAGGACTTAAGTGGAATGCCACTTCCCACTCTCAACCCACTGATGATGACTCACTTCACCAGCTTAGCCTACAGAAGGCCCAGAGCTCTGAAGAGCTGAATAAGAATAAAAGCTGCCTTAATCTTTTCTGTCCAGTGAGTGGGCAGACACAGGGGCAAACAAGGACAGATGTGCTCAAAACAAAATACTGTACAGTAATAACTTGGCTTTGTGTTCAGAGTCAGAATATAGTCCCAACATCTCCATTTCAGTACAAGTGGAGAAACAAAAAAGGATGCAACTTTTATCCAGCTATCTCAACTCCATTGCCCAGATGTCCTCTGTTAACCACACGGGATCAACATGGCACTGAATTTCTGCCCTCTGCCACCAGCTAGCTCAGTTTTATGGAAAATTTGACTCCCTATTGGTTTAGTAACACTAACTTCCCAAAAAGCTAATACTTCATTTCTCAGAGAGTCCAACCTTGCCATGTTAAAGTGACTCGTCCACAAGAGTGGCAATAGCCCTTTTCCTTTTGGCAATCTTCGGCACAAGAGTCAGGATTAATGCTAATTTATTCTTAATCGGTCTACTCTTCTGATGCCACTTCCAAGCTAGTTTACTAGACATGTCAAGGGTTCATACTTCCTACTGTACCTTCAACATGCCACATGTAGGGTTGCCAGATGTCCAGTATTCTACCAGACAGTCTGGTTTTTGGGCCCTCTGTCTGGTAAAAAAAAAAAAATCCAGAAAATACCAGACATGTGCAATGTCCAGTATTGCCTGGATTTCTGGCTGGGCACCGGACGGAAGCCTGGTGGGGCGGGGAGAGTGGCTGGGAGGCAGAACACAATCGGCGCTGGGAGCCCTGGCTGCGTCTGATGTCTTGGGGAGGAGGAGAAACCCTGTCCCTGCTCCTGAGTGCGTGGTGGAGCCGCAGCCAGACTCATTCGCGCTTCTCCAGACCATACGCAGGACTGACAGCACCTCGGGATCTGCACGTGCCTGGGTCAGTCCCACTCCCCCTCCTTTCCCCAGCCAGCTCCTCTGCCCCTGACCCCCTCCCAATGACCCTCTGCTTCCTGCTGGCCAGTTCTCCTCCTCCCGATCTCCCCTAGCCAGCTGCGCTGCCCCTGACCCCTCCTCCATCCCCCCTCCCCCGGCCAGCCGCGCTGCCCCCGCACCCCCCCCCCCCCCAGCCACTCTGTCCCCCCTCCCGGTCAGCCCTGGTAACCCTAGCCACATGTGTAGTCACTTCACTTTTTTTTGTTTTTGTTTTTTTTAAATCTCTCACCTACCCAAAATTTCTGTTATTCTCAATGTAATGCATCAGAAGGAAAAAAAAAACCTAACAAGAGAAAAAGTGTGAGTACTACATGTAGATAAGACCTCATGCCAGCCACTCTGTCCCCCCTCCCGGTCAGCCCTGGTAACCCTAGCCACATGTGTAGTCACTTCACTTTTTTTTGTTTTTGTTTTTTTTAAATCTCTCACCTACCCAAAATTTCTGTTATTCTCAATGTAATGCATCAGAAGGAAAAAAAAAACCTAACAAGAGAAAAAGTGTGAGTACTACATGTAGATAAGACCTCATGCCAGCAATCAGGCCTATTCCACAATGTGTTGGCCAGGATTTGAGAGTTCTTAGGATCTTTCAGGATCCCTCTGCACCTTGACTTGTACAGGGAGTCCCCTGATATCTGTATTGGGGAGAAGTTCTTCTGTGGGCTAGAAGGTCTGCCAGCCAACGACGAGATTCAAGAGAGTTGCATTGCAGTCCAAAAGTATCACACACTCTCTGGACGAGCTCAAGAAAGAAGCCGTATTAAGCAGAATAGGCAGGGCCATGCAAACCAAAAACTTTCCCTGCACTTTGGGGGGGGGGAGAGAATGGGAAAGCAGGAGGGAAGCAGTGACAGTGGGAGGCCCTCCACTTCACTCCTACAGATTAGACTGGCTCATTCCCTCGGCTGCTTTCTAGCGACTGAAGGAAGATCAGGACCCCCCTACTTCACTTGCAGAAAGTTTTGTTTCTTCTAAACCTGTCCGGTAATCCAAGCCTAATGCCTGTCCAACACATGCTCTTGTCTGAGCTGGGAGTGCAGTGGCTGCCCACTGACCCTAGGGGGAGGCACCCCTCCCAGAGCCTTGGTGGGCAACAGCTGGCCCTAAGAACCCACCTGACTGGAAACCAGGAGGCGGGGTCAGAGATATAAAAGGCCTGCCAAAGAGGCCAGTGGGAAGGTACGAGGGGGAGTGTGAAAAGAGCCCAGGGAAAGCTGACTCACCTTTTCGCCAAGCCAGAACCAGGTCACGTTGCGGAGCAGATCCCCCCTGACCCAGCAGCAGACCGCTCTGCTGCTACCAGGGCCCTGGGCTAGGTCGCAGTGGAGTGGGTAGGCCTGCGTCCCCCCTGCCACCCCACTTCCGGATGGCAGTCTCCCCCTGGGCTGTGCCTGAATTGCAGCCTACATCCACTAGACCCCCGCCTGAGCAAGGGGATCCAGCTGGGCGCTCACCTTAAGACTATTTGTTTTGAACTGTTTGATCACCGCCTCGCCCTGAAGCAAGGGCTTGGGCCTTCGAACTGCTTGTTTGGCTGCCCCGCCCCAATCCGAGGCCTGAGGCTCTGAACTGTTTGTTACCGCCCACCCTGAGCAAAGGCCTGGGCTCTAGACCAAAACCACCACGAATTCCCCAAAAGACTCAACAGGGTGTTGTGGAGCGGAGAGGCCGCCCACTGACCCCAAGGGGGAGGCACCCCTCCCAGAGCTCCATCAGCTCACAGGGAGTAACTCGAGCAGGCTGCGTGACTGCTGGGAGTTTGGATGTGTGGGAGCAAGGAGACTCATTCGTTTGAATGCTTTGTCTCCTTGTTCTAGAGCAACTCTGCAACGCCGAGCTCCCCCACAGCTGGTGTTTAAGACATTTGTTTTGGAACACAAGTGACAAGCTATCCTTTCTGCTGAGTAGGTCAGCCTTATAAGGTGCCAGCATCTGTGGCCTGCTGGGGCTTGTGCTGGACTGTGCTCAGAAGCAGTCAGACCCAAGAGGCAGCGCATGTTTTGGCAATTACATACTTGAGAGGTATTTATATCACAGGGTCATAAACTGAGTTACTTTAACCACCCAAACTTTAACCACCCAAGCATCACCAAAAATTGCACTGAAGTTCAAGGCCTGTCTCATAGCTAATCAGAACAATGCAGCAATACAGAAAGAAAGAAATGCCCCCTTTATACACTGAATAGGCAATACTTCACAGGTATGACAGCCAATCGCAAAGTGCCATCTGTGTCCAGCATGAAAGACAACATGCCCTACTGGTAACCTTATTTAACAGAAGAGAACTTGTGCATGTGAGAGAATTGAGGTTTAAGTAAATTTAGTCATGCATAAATAGTCTAATTTATGCCTCTTTCTTCCATGCAAAAAACTGGGCTTTCACCACTGCCTTCTGTCTTTGGCTGTCTCTTGGCTTCTTCCCACATCCATCTCATAGTTTTCAGTTCTGCTTCTGCTTTGCACTTCCAAGTTGTCCTTGGTCTAGCCTGTCACCTCTTCGTCTGGGAATTACAATCCAACACGTGTCTTGTTAGGTTGCTTGGTTCTCTCTTCTCGGTGCATCCTGCACCCACCACTTCTGTTTCACAATTTCCTGTCCCATCAGTTTGTTTCTTACTCCTCCAAAGCAATTGATTTCAGATTTTTTTCTGGCTATCTAATGCTGAGAATTTGTCAAAGGCATTTGTTTAGAAAAACTTTAACTTGAGAGAGCAAGGTCTTGATAAGTCTTCAAATTCAGTGCCACATAGTAAGATAGAATAGTTAGCACCACTGTAAAATCTAAGTTGAGTTTGAAAAGCCAGACTTCTGTTTCTCCAGATCATCTTTAGGGTTGCAAAGGTATGTGTGTCTTTTGCTATTCTGCACAGAGACATCACTGAAATAAACCTGATTTTATAGTTCCATCCCCAGTATGTAGTGTTATCCTTAAACTATATATACAAATAAATGTCTATAAAAGAATAAAGTTTCTTGTATGTGAGCATTAGACACACCAAGGAGGTCTCAAAATGACAGTGATTTGTTCAACATCTTCAGAAATCCACACATGGCAACAGTGTTACCTTCTAGAGACCCAAACCCTAAAGTTTCTTACTGAAATGATGGAATTGTGTTTAATTTCCTGCAGTAACCCCAGTTCATCCATTCAGCTGCTCTAGCATTTGCTAAAAATACAGCCATTATCTGACCTTTCAATTGAAGGACTGGTGTTTATGACCTGAACTACCGATACGAAAGAACTGGAAAAATATTCAGTGAGGGATAAATTCCACTATTTTTCTGAGCACACCCAAACAGGATCAGACAGAGCTTTCCGGAGCAGATCCACCAATTTGAGGTGGCTGAAACTACTAGATTCCATTTGGATGAGTGAGCAGACAAAAAAGGGGGGGGGGAGGAGACTATAATTAGTAAATCTTTCAGTTATTAATTTGCTATATCATAAGTTGTCAAGAGTAGCCACGTTTTTTAAAACCTGTTCCCACTGATTTAGAGAGACATATGTACAAAGTAAAAGAGAAAACTTTTTGATAATTTCACTAGCATTTCGTTGCTGTAGTGTAAGACTGCTACTATTGGAATATATCCAGAAAAAAATGGAACACAAAATTGTGGGAAAAAGTAACGAACCAACATACTAAAAGGCATAAAGCCAGTTTCCTACCTGAAGATTATTCATCAATCCTTGTTGTCCTAGGACAATGCTCCAGCAACCACATGAAAGAAAGAGATAGCCAATTCCTGTACATTTAAAAGAAAAATAGTCATGTCAAGTATGCAAAACCATAAAATTAACTCAGTAATATAGCCAACAAACTGATGCAAAAAAAATAAAGAACTGCCAAAACTGGTTCATATGTTTCCATTGAAATTATTCTTTTGGGATCATTTTGTGTTGTATAGCTAATTATTTTTAGTCTTTAAGGGTTGTATTCCACACATTTAGACAGAATTGCAGTGGATTAATGAGATCAGGATGACTTCATTTTGAATAGAAAGCTCAATGCAAAAGAAAGGAAAAACTAATCATAATGATAAATAATAATTAAAGCTGAAACCAGCAATGCATTCACCAGATATGTCTACTATGAAATGGAATCAAAACAAAAACCATCTAAGGGTACATCTATTCTACAGAGGATGATCGAAGCTGCTGCTGTCTATCTTCCAGGGTTTGAATTAGCGATCTAGTTAAGACAGTTAATTTGAAATGATAGCGGTATTCGGGTTGATGCCGGTAACCCTACTTCTATGAGAAGTAAGGGAAGTCAAAGGAAGAGTGTGCTACCTTCAACTTCCTGCAACATAGACAGCACCAAAAGTTGAGTTAAGCTACTTTGACTTCAGCTACGCAATTAACGTTGCTAAAGTTGCATATCTTAATTCGACATTGTCCTGTAGTGTAGAAAATCCCCTAAGTTCAAAGATCAGTCTCCTATTAGGGTCCGGAGAGGCTTGTTCTTGTTCGTTTACACTGAAAGCAGAAAAAAC